TTAGTTGAAAAGTAAGATGAGGAATAACTCATTTTGCATCTGAACAAATTAATTAAAATATTTTATAGGATTCCTAAACAGATTTGGGGAGAAAAATCAGGAAGAGTTTCCCTTTCTCTCTCTCCCTCCCTCTCTCTTATCCTTTAAAAAACAACACTGGGAAGATAGGAGGGGAAGAATGAAGGGGGGGAAACCGGAGGGGGAGACCAACCATGAGAGACAATGGACTCTGAGAAACAAACTGAGGGTTCTAGAGGGGAGGGGGGTGGGGGGATGGGTTACCCCAGTGATGGGTATTAAAGAGGGCACGTTCTGCGTGGAGCACTGGGTGTTATAAAAAAAAAAAAACATAACAAGTAAATTAGTACACAGAAAAACAAAAAAACTAATGATGTAATGTAGGGTGATTAACATAACATAATAAAAAAATATAAACAAGAAAAAAACAACAACACTATTAATCTGCTTTATTAAAACTTTGTAGAATTTTATTGAGACAGTATCTGATAAAAAGAAATTGTTAGGAATCACGACTAATGACTTCTTTCAAAATCTGTTGAGAATCAGAATTGCGATTACTTTTCACAAACAGTGAGGAACTCATTTGTGCCTGGAGAAATGACAACTTCCTGGAGTGTTCTCCACCCCTCATTCCTTTGGGCAGAGCCTAACCATTGGTTTCAGCATCAGGTTGTTGCATAGGTGTTGCTGTCAATCTTTCTTTAACCTTCTCCTGAACATTATAGTAACCTGAGCATTGTAGTAAGAGTACAATTTTGCTCCTCACTTAACCTTCTTGCACATCTTTCCTCTACCTTTGATTAAGAGAGGCCTAGGAGGGCCTCGCTGTAAAAATCTACTTTGTGCTGGCCACATGGTGACATCTGTATCCTGGTTCCCTCACGAGAGCACCAATTTACTACAGAAAGGCACTGAAATTCATAGTAGGGCCAGAGGCAGCAATAATGTGAATCCCTTGATGAGAGGGGATCATGTCTAATGGTTCTATATTAGGCTCAGATTCTTCTACGAATCAACAGTATTAGGCAATCATACTTAACAATTATAATCTTTTCAAGAGCAAATTAAATATCCTTCCAACTGTAAAATGCCCAGTTTGCCAGTTGGTGCAATGTTCTTGTCTTTGAACACAGAATATGGCCACAGGAATCTGTCACACAGATGACCACGTGGTAAAATGAGCAATGGTGTCTAAGTCTCCAGGGATTGTGGGATGTGAAGCAACTGGAGAGAACTGGAGGAGGAGTCACTACAGTGAAACTGGGCATGTGGATTTCAAATCACAAAGTTGAGGAAAATAGGATTTGATTATCCTATCAAAGGAAATCGTACAATCAGACATTATTAGAAAGAGCCTTAACACAATCTAAGAGGATAAAAGGATCCAAGGAGAATGGATTGTATCAAGTGAAGTTTAATTTGGCAAAATCTCAACCTTCAGCAGGCAAACAGTATGGTGCTTATAAACTTTAGAATATTTTAAGAATTTCTTGCATGTGGCATTGGTTCAGCTCACATTTGTTTTATTTCATATTTTAACATTAATAACCAAGAACTTATATCATGATGCCTTCCCTCAAGGTGACAAAGTCATCCCCCTCTTTTTGCCTCTATGCAGAGAATGCAATGCTTTCTCAATCTGGATGGCAACTTTTGCATTAGGAGTGAGCAGGTTTAGTCAATTTTATTCTAATGCCATTTAAATTGTTCCTATGCTCATTTTTGAACTGAATTAACTAATATGTGTCTTTGATGCATTAGATAACGCTACTGGTCGTGGAGCAGTTGCTGATGGTTCTACCAGATGTACCTGCAAGGGCAAACCAGTCTGTCACTACATGAACACCAGTGTGTTTACTGAGTACACACTGGTGCATGAATCTTCCATTGCTAAGACTGATGATGCAACTCCTAAGAGTCTATTTAATTGGATGTGGATTTTCTACTAGCTATGGGATTGCCATTAAAATGAGCAAGGTAGGGGCACCCAGGTGGCTCAGTCGGTGAAGTGGCTGCCTTTGGCTTGGGTCCATGATCTCAGGGTCCTGGGATCGAGCCCCGTGTTGGGCTCCCTGCTCGGCGGGAAGCCTGCTTCTCCCTCTCCTTCTGCCTGCCGCTCCCCCTGCTTGTACTCTCTCTCTGTCAAATAAATAAATAAAATCTTAAAAAAAAAATGAGCAAGGTAAGAAGAAGGATGGGCATTTCTTCCTTTTTTAAAAAATTCTTTTTAAATGTTTTTTTTCTTGGAATCCTGGAAATTTTTGAATAAAAAAAAATTTTTGAAAACATATTTCACAGGCAGGTTGTTTCTACACACTGCCAAATCAACCAGAAGAAAAAATGAAAAATTCAGATTAGAAATTTTATTTCTAAATAACTGGAAGTGAAATTTCTACATTTAATTTTATTCCCTCTACATTTCCTTCAGGTTCATTTCTAAATTTTAGCTTCAAAAATTTAGATCTAAAATTCATCTTTCTTTTTTCACAAAATAAATATCAATGCTGGTGAGTTAGTTGGCTAAGGCTGTCATAGCAAAGTACCACAGACTGAGTGGCTTAAACAGAAATTTATTGTCTCACATTCTGGAGAGTAGAAACCCCACATCAAGGTGTCGGCAACACTCGTTCCTTCTGGGGGCTATGAGGGAAGGACCTGTTCCCAAGGCTCTCCGTGGCTGCCTTCTGCTGACATCGCTTTCACATCATCTGCTCTTTACGCCAGTCTTTGCATCCCAATTTCCCCTTTGTGTAAGGGCACCAGTCATATTGGATTAGGGCCTACCCTAATAACCTCATTTTAATGTGATTACCTCTGTAAAGACCCTGTCTCCAATTAAGGTCACATTCTGAGGTACTGGGGGTTAAGACTTCAATATATGAATTTGGAGAGGGGACAAAATTCGACCCATATTAGCTGGTATATAACATGAAAACATGAATGAGTTTTTAAGAAACCTCTTCCCATTTTTCAAGGGAACATGACTGCTTCATTAAAGTGTGTGTTCAAATCTCACACTCTCATTATAGCTTAGTCTTCCTCATTAAACTATAAGCTCCAGGAAGGTATGGACCAAGTCTTCTTTATTTACTACAGTGCTTAGCCAGGAGCCTGGACACAGCAATGGCTTAAAATAGCAATTGGACAAAAATGAATGTATGAATGAATAAAAAAAGGGGATGTCCAAATATGTGGAAGAAGTATGGGAAAAGGTGAACGGGCTTGTGGAAAATATGCATGCAGGTGTGGAGGTAGATTTATCTTAGACATGGGCCCATGACAAGTCTGAGGTCTACGAGTCTATAACATTAATGTGTATGCACATATCAGTGGCATATTTAGTCACTGCTTGCTTATAGATTTCTTTGGAAAATCCTGGAGATGGAACATTCCTTCCAAAGGGTCTCCTTGAGGTTTGCCTTAAGAATTTTCTACCAAGGTAGAGGTGAGAAAAAAGACATTGGGTATATTTTTACAACTTGTATTTATAATTTTTTTTTATTGTATAAGATGTACTGGTACCATATTAGTACTTGGCTAATATACTATTAATCAAGACAATCTCCACTTTGAGGTACAATTTTTTCCTGGAAGCTGTATCTTAAGGCAAATCACTTGAATGAACATACATTCTTGCCTTTGCCTATTTTAAAATAAGTCACACTTACAATTTGAGGGTATGCGGAGGGGGAGGTCTCCAAACCCCCCTTTGTTTCAATAATTCACTGGAAGGATTTATGAAACTCAGAAAAGTGATTATCCTCATGTTTACAGATTATTACAGCAAAAGGATACAGATTAAAAGTGGCAAAAGAAAAAGACACATAGGGCAGAGTCCGGGAAAGATCAGGTACAAATTTTTGGTTGTCTTCTCCCAATGACATCACACGGACAGAGCTTAATTTTCCCAGCAACAATGCATGTCAACCAGGGAAGTTCACCCAAGTTTTGAGGTCCATGGTTTTATTGGGGAACATAGGCATGCAGCACCCCTGTGACCAACCTCAGCTACTCAGACCCCAGTACTACCAGAAGTCAAGTTGATGGCTCAAAGCCCCAGGTATACAAAAATAGGCATTCACCATACATCATTACTAGCATAGACTACCTAGTATATCCTAAGGTCATCAGATGTACAAAGACACTCATGTAAGACAGGATAACCTAAGGACTCAAAGTTATCTTCCAGGAGCCGATCAAGGGTCAGTCTGAAGACTTCAGGAATATGGAGCACCTGGGTGGCTCAGTCGGTTGAGCGTCTGCCTTTGGCTTAGGTCATGATTCCAGGGTCCTGGGATCGAGCCCCACAGCAGGCTCCCTGCTCAGCGGGGAGTCTGCTTCTCCCTCTCCATCTGCCTGCCATTCCCCATGCTTGTACTCTCTCTCTGTCAAATAAACGGATAAAATCTTTAAAAAAAAATAAAAGACTTCTGGAATAGTGAAACACAGATTTTTACTAAAGAACACTAAAGGGATGGGAACAGTGAAGAAAAACAATGGTAAAAAGCGGAACCTAATAATATTTTTAAAATTACCTATATTTGGTATTTTTATTTTAGACTATGGTATTTTTCTGCAATAACGATATGGACAATTTACAATAGACATTAATCTCTAATTCCCATTCCTTCGAACAGGAAGGTTGGGAAAGGGAAGGGTTATTGGTTTGTTGTTTGTTTGTTTTTGTTTGGTGGGGTTGTTGTTGTTTTCAGATGGAAGGCACATTTAGCAGACTAGGGCCCTGATCCACTGAGAGGCTCAGAGGCAGATAACAGCAGGGGCAAGAAACTATCACTTTACAGATGGGTAGCCGAGACCCAGGGAGAAGTGTTGAGTGGTACAGTTTTGTGGTTAGAAAGATCCCACTTCAGGGCCACCTTAGTAAGTCAAACACTTGCTAGAGATAAAGCTGAATGAAGTTCAGAAGACTGAGCTAGAATCATAAGCTTTTGTACCTAAATCTAGAACCTGAAATTCAACCACCAACAAAAGGTTCCATCTCAAATCTGGACAATAAAGCTAGTACATAAACTGGAAGGAAAGGCAGAGAATACCCAGTTTAGTTTCTGGTGCAAAATGCTCCCCATTAAGGAATCCATCAAGAAAGTTTATTGAATGAATGAATGAGTAATACTTGAGAGAATGACTGTACTGGTTTCAAAGCTTCAAATTCAGGAACTGAACCGAGGGATTAGGATGCCATAACTGAAATTAAAACCCATGGGCAGTAGGTGTAATATGTCTGCAGTTCTCTGTAAATCTCTGCTTATAGGTGCAGACATTTCAAAACACATGCACACATATATATACACAAGGTATTCCTTCAGGTAATTCCTTCAAGGAAGGACAAAACCAGAGAATCAGGAGGTCTTAAAATAGGCCCTGCTCACCCATAAGCCTCTGCATTAAGGGAAGGAAGGAAGGAAGGAAGGAAGGAAGGAAGGAAGGAAGGAAGGAAGGAAGGAA